AAAATCAGGCAATTTACAGCTTCTTAAATTATTTGTTAATGAAATAAAAATAAAACTGGGCCCAAAGATGAGTCGGACCACCAATTAGGTATGCGCAAGCCACGACTGTGAGATATGCTGAAATGGCAAGTGCGATAAACATCGATAACATAGTTCATATTCCGATGTCATATTAGTCAGATGCGCGCGGTTAATTTAAACCGAGTTCAGTTAACAGTAACAGAATTTATTTTGGTTTCTTCGACTTTTACACAATCACTACCATTTACACTGCATAATTGGATTCCTAGAATAGTCCCCTTACAGTGAAAGGTAAGCATATGCGGTCAGGCTAGTATCAGGAGTATTTCGAACTGAAGTCAACAGGCAAAATGCCAATAAATGCAAGAAGGGTAAATAAATAGAGGCTCAATAAAGCATTATTGTCTCCGTTAAGCTCGTAAGTGCCTCACAGCCCCTTGTTGAACCACACAGTTTCCAAATCCGGACGTTTCTTCCTTATGCTATCGCGGACCTCCGCTTCAAGGCTGTCCACTTTGATGTCCGCTCGCTGCTTGAAAAATGCGCAGCCGAGGGGCGTGGCGAAAATCAGCACGAAGCCACAGAAGAGCGTTTGGATGGGAGCGTTGGATCGCGGGTATTTAGCCAAGAATCCCCTTTTCTCGAGGACATTCATCAGCACCGGTGTCAGAGCTGAAATGGAGAAAAGGTATCGTAAGTATTTACACCTTTTTGTGCTCAAGGAGACGTACTCATTCCTGGTATGGCCATGGCAATTCTACTCAGGATTACGGTTGAGATTCCAACAACCGCCGCCTTCTTTGAGATGCCCATTTCGTTGCTGTGCTCATCGAAAAGCGTCACTCCGTTGCGTAGCTCTCTGAAAAAGATGATTATTTCGTGTTAAAAATAAATAATTTTCTGCTTTAAGAACGGACGTAGCCGTTACCATCTTAAAATTATAATTTATTAAAAACACTGGCGCCTGTATGGGAGTTACCAAAACAAAGGTTGTGCGTGAAAGTTGTAGGCGGCTTGACTTGCAACAAATTGGAATCTAACTTGCACAATGGTCTTGGAAACGGTTCCATTTACCTGTTACATACATACTTAACGTCGAATAAAGTACACAATTTTAGTTACGAATATAAAAATGCCAAATGCTAAAAATTTTCTTAGTAAATTTGAATTCTAAAGTTATAATTAGGGAAGAAATGAAAGAAAGACTCGGAATAATAAAATCTGTATCGATAAAAGAGTTACAGAACCAGTCTAAACGAAACAAGCCTATTTGATACTTTTCTTAAATAAATGTGTAAAGGAAGATACTGCTTTAATATGAAGTCGACTTACTGCATCCGCATGCAGGGGATGTTGATGCAGTTGGCAGCGCCAACTGCCACTAGCGGGACAAGGCGACCCAAGAGCGGATTCATGTTCTTCACTGCGCGGTTCAGGGAAAGGGCCGTGACCAGGGCTCCACTAGTGGCCAGACAGTATGAGGTAATTAGTTGCCTGGACAGGGGACGAAATCGGTGGAGTTAGTGTCAGGAGCTGCGGCTGGGAAGAGGTACCTACTGCTGGCTGATGGGCGAGGTGCCCGAGCGGTTCGTGTAGTTGACAATGGCGTTGAATGTCTGATTGAACCACTGCCAGAAGACGACGGCGGGAGTGGTCTTGTAAAAGGCCATCATGCCTGCAATGTGATTTAGCTATTATTCTACTCGATTTAATCAACGCCAATTGAGCACCGAAAACGTTGCTCATACGCACCACCGGTAATGATTGTGTTCATGGGCATCTGCGCAGCCATGCGCCCGATGACTATCTGCTTCTCCCCGGTCTCCGGATGGAACGCCGAATCGTAAAGGTACTTGGCGCGCCACACGTCGTCGATGGTCTTGCACTCGGGAACATCCTTGCCTTAAAGTTAAAAGTGATTAGTGAGCTAAATTGGTGACTAATTGGTTTCTTACCAGCCCGGTACCTCAGCACTATCTGGCGGGCCTCCTCCAACTTCGAGTCGGAGGCCAGCACATTAAGCGGGTTGGTCAGCAGGAAGAAGTGCTTGGCCCTGCCCAAGTAGGAGTTCTGATCATATTTCGGCTCGTCAATGTTGACTCGGGGAAGCGGGCCCATGATTGCCTGCCAAGTAAGTAATCAGTTCATAATTGTTTGCAATCTATGTATCAGCGAAAAAGAAACGTTCACAAAGCGGAATTATACGTTTCGCAAACTATGTTTTCCGGCCCGCCAATGAAAACAGCTCTTATCAGTCCGATGCTCGTAACCTAACTTAGTCGCCTTATCGCTGGTAAACAAGTTTCTCCCGACAACGCTTCTTGCGCATATATGTAGGCACAAAAAAAAAACATTTTGTATAAATGTATGTACACACACGCCCGATACTGAGTATATAGAGATTTAAAATGAATTGGCAGTGGTCGATAGCCGTGCCTGTTCGGTTATGTATTCAAGAGTTCCGAAACTTATATAATCGTTAAATATATTCGTCTACGATTATGATAAGGTTTTAACAAATCTTCGGGTCTTATCCAAAAAAAGCTTATACAGTTTACACAAAAGAAGGTAGCAGTGCACACAGACGCACCGTTTGGTTTTGAAGGGATTTTCCAGTGGGAGCACTTTCACCCACACGTTGCTACCAATTTGGAAGACAACCGACGACTGAGCGGAAGACACTGACACAGGTTGGAGCTCTAGAAAGCTTTCCCCCTCTCCATCTGACTAATGTGTATGCGTAACGGTTTTATGGGCGGGTAAAGCTGGAAGGGGGGAGGGGGCTGGAAAGGGCGAGAGAGTGGGAGAGAGCTTTGGTGCGTGCGCGGTTTATAACAGCTGGGCTTGGACTACCAGGTGGTGGTTTAGCATTTAAAGTTTGGGGTATAGACTTGGATACCCTTTAAAATGGTAAATCACTTTTTTCGATGCCTATTTGCTTCCGCTTTTATAGCCAATATGTAACTGAAAATTTAGAAAGACTTAATGTTTTATTTTTCTGAACCTTTGACACCTTTACGGAAATACAGCCTACTGATAATTGGCAATTTTTATCGACCGATATTCGATAAAATAACTGTTTGTACCCGTTGCCTGTAGAGTAATAGGGTATAATAGATTCGACGAAGAGTATGTAACAGGTAAAATACAGCTTTTCCGAACATATAAATTATATATATTCTTGATCAGGACCGCTAGCCGACTCGATCTGATCATATCTGTCCGCTTGTCCGTATGAACGCCTTGATCTCAGGAACTGTTGAAGTCAGAAAGTTCAACGCAAACGTTTGTTTCCGAATTTTACCACGCCCACAAGCCTTTTGAAACACTTTTTAAAAATGTTTTTATATTTTTATTTTTTGTTTGTCTTGTAAATTTCTACTAATCTTTTTGCCACGCCGAAAAACCGGCTCAAGCTGCCAAGCATACATTTTTAAAATTTATTTTGAACTTTGTATTTAAAACTAAAACAAGAGAGAACGCTATAGTCCCATTTTTCGACTGTATCCGATATCAGATATCCGTTCCTCAGCTATTGGCAGTATTAGGGAGCAATTTGAAAATTCTTTTGAAATACCGATAGAAATAAATAAAAATAGATAAAAATGAATTAAAAAAACGAAATTTAATCAGCTTGTTGTGTCAGCTTGTTGCTGTATGTGGGGTTTAGAGTAGGCGTCTATAATGCTTTTTGGGAATATCGATAAAAATGTTCAGAAAATAATACAAAGACAAAAAAAAAAACAAAACATTCTTAAAATGTGTGGGCGTAACAGTTTTGGGCGGTTTGTGGATCGTTAAAAAAAAGGCCTGGATCGACTCGGCTAGTTTTCCTGATCAAGAATACAAATACTCGTTGAAAAAATGCATGTATTCAACGAAAATAGTAAAAACTCTACGTATAAAGGACCAGAAACACTTGAAAGAGGTTCAATTGCACGTTTCGTTTCTAGTTATGCCTTTATTTTCGGAATTCATATTTAGACTAAACATAACAACAGCTTTGTATATTAGCAATAGGTTTCTTGTTTTAAGTTAAGCCCCACCAATAGGTATAAGTTGTCTCCTCGAAGGTTATTTATAAACAGTTTTCAATATAGTTTTTGCAAACAATTACGACTAAGTAACACAAATGACAGACGTAAACATTTATTGTAATTTTTGGTATAGCACGTTATTGTTGTAAGTATGTATAAGTTTATGTAACAATTATTGTACATTGTATAAGTTTTAAGGGAAAAATTTCTTTAGTTGAGTGTCTACTTATGCATTGAATCCTAGATAGCCTGGATTCTCCACAATAGACAGAGTAGCTTGCATAATTTTACATACTTCCTCCACAGGTGCACTTTTGCATTAGATTCAGTTAAAGATAACACGAACTATTATATTTGTTATAATTTGTGAGAAAATTGAACACATGTACACTTGAAATAATTTTAATTGAATTTCAATGACCGGATTTTCTGTATTCAAAAAATAAACTATAATGGCAGCTTAAAGATTTGGATCGACATGTTTTGCAGAGCAGGAAGAACCTTTTAATTGGTTTGGGCCAAGAATCTTGAGTAATTAGAAATCTTGGGTACGGAGAAATCTAAGTGGGCATTCTTTAATTGGCGGATTGTTCGTACGATTTCTTGTGTAATGTTGATATTGTGTGTGCACGTGATAAAAATTACGCATAGTAACTTTCCTTCAACCATGAAGGCTCCAGCGGTAATTTGCTATATTAAAAGATAATACATTTTTAAGAAATCAATCCGGCTTTAATTTTAATTTTTCAACATTGATTCAACATGATTTAATGATTCGAAATTTTTTAAAGAACCTAGAACTAGAAATTTAGAAATGTAACTGCTTTAATTTATTTTTTTACTTTTTTATATATTAAGCAGTATATTAAGTGTTTAAATAAACCTTTTTTTATTTCTGAAATATAATATCTTTTAAATATCTTTTTAATTTCTGGTTGTTACTATTACCATCATTATATATTATTATCAACATAAAAAAGTAACAATTTGCTCACAGGAGAGAGGATAAAAGATATTTTTGAGCTGAAATTTAAAACTCGCAGGTCGACTCTGATTGATAACTTAAAAGTTGATCGCTGACTATGCCTAGCTTGTGATTGATTCGGTTCTGGAAGATTGTTTACATAATCTATAGCCTTTAAGGAGAATGCTGTATTTGTAAGTGTATGTATGTCCTCGCTCTGTATAAATATGTAGAATTAATATGTATTTATATATGTAGTACTTAACTATGATTTGAGCTTGTCCACATGAATAGTATCGGTTGTTGTATGTGGATAACTGGGTGCATATACTGGATACATACTATTTGTCTCAGACATTGCTTTTAGCTAAACGCCTGATTCTGTTTCCGTGTCATAATCGACCACCAGCTGCAACGTCTTTATACGGGATACTAATTCTTGTGAAGGTGAATAATCAGCCGGAATCGGACCGGTTTCAGGAGCTGGGTAGGCCAAGAAGTAATTACATACTGCCAAACGGCTAACATCATATAACGCGTGCATTGAATTCTCTTATAATAGACAAATAACACATACTTAAAATATACTCTTGGTGTGGTTCTGAGTTGTACTGTTTAATGACTATCAACTTTTACATTGAATTTTTGAAACAACAAACCTGCAAAATGCGGTAAAATGTGCTACTGATGATGGTCTCAATGCAATTACCAAGAATCGGTATGTGAAACCTTTAAAATTAACACTTTATCATTTTAAACCTTTAAGAAAACACATACACTGAACCGTGAAAATGACTGGTTTTGAACGTAGAATGCAGCACAATTGACCTGAATTGTTTAATATGTGTTCCATTGCTCAATAAATATTTATATGTGGTTATTATTTACAATAATAAATTGACACGATTAATTGCCGTCGTAATTAATGTCTTTGCACTTTACTGATAATTTATATTTCGAACAGCTAGGATGTTTTATTAGTTTCGTTAAATAATCGATTGCAAATCAAGTTAAATTAACAATTTGTTCTTATTTATTTGAAGAACAAATTTCGTAATCAAATTTTAAATAAAATTCGTTGTTCTTGTTCAGCTTATAGCTCTGCATATCTGGTCTGTCTCTAAATATTCGTTCTCTTGGTTTAAAACTAGGAGGAGAGTAATTTCAACAGTCAACGGAGATTGTTTCGAGAATCCGAAAATAAGGGTCTATAATTAATTAAAGTATAGAAAAGAGATGTGAATCAAAAGTATATACATAAACATAACTCGACTAAGTTATATTATAGATTTGCATAAGTTTTGTGGGCATATTGTGTTGTTAATTAAAACCCTTATCTGCAATACCTAATTTTGCTTGTTCTTTGTTTTTAATTATATAAATTTGTCTCCCTATCTACAGTTGTATTTTTGCTTTATAATTACTTTTCTTTTCTTACATATTCATGTGTAATTCCCTTTAAATTGAGAAACTTTTTTAAAAGATCTGGAGTTTAAAAAATCATTTTATGTCGTTGAAAATCATAACAATAATTATATACGGTAAGTGGCCCTCTTCCTATACGCGTGAGTTTCATTACTAAACCTTCAATCATCTTATGCAAGTTTCGCAATGATCATCGGAGAAACAAAAAAATGAAGCCCACAAAGACCGTGTTTTGTTTTGAAGTTAACGAACATTTTTAAATTTAATTGTAATATAATTGCGAAAATTTAAAAAAATTTTCAATGGAAAAGAAATTACACCATTATTGGTTATCATTTTCCTATGTGTCCTTACAATACGTATTAATAAATATAGTATACATTTACATTTACAATATTTATTTTTTGGTTTATCATTCTTTTGGTGCAATGTAAAAATCCATGTAAAACGCGTTTTGAGTATTAAATTTCTCCTCTAATTAACGTTAGGTAAATATTACTCCTAATGCGTCGTTTTCTTTGTGTTTTCAGTGTTTTGGGTTTGTTATAGCTGCGGCCTTGAACAACTCTACATGTATGTAAATGTGGTATTCGAAACTTGGTGCTGGCAATTATCATGTATGTAGATCCACTGCTGTCATCGTCTGGAGCTTAGTAGGTGCCTGAAACAATAGATTAGATTGTTAGAGCAAAACAAGATCGCACCTGTGGGGCATACTAACTGGGGCACTCTGGTGGGTTCATGTAGCCAAAGACATTCAACTCGTAAAGCGACGCCAGCGTGATAAAGAACAAATACCAGACCATGAGAATGATGCCCAGTCGCTTGTCCAGCTTCCAGCCGTTTAAGTGCGTCGACAGGATCAAGAAGACAACGGTGGAGAAGAGCGACAGCGTGGAGTATGCTAGTCCTGAACATCGAAATGGAGAGGAAAATAGAGAGGGGGCACTGAAGGATTAGACTTGAACGGTATTACTCATGCCACGGGTATACGACGATGACAACTAGGTAGATAGACACGCAAGCGATACATACCCTTAGATATTACGTTGACGTGCGAGCCGGGCTTTATGATGGCCGTCTGTATGAACCAGGGAAGACCTAAGCACACTAGTATATCAAAGACATTCGAGCCAATTGCGTTTGACACGGCCATGTCGCCAAAGCCCTCTTTGATAACGGCTATTGAGCTTAGGGCATCCGGGACAGACACGCCAGCGGCCACAAACGTCAAACCCATCACGGTGTCCGGGATGGCAAGCGTGGACCCTATCACTGTAATCATCCACACCATAAAGTAGGAGTAGAACGATATCCACACCATCGACATTAGGAAGGTGAAGGGGTACCAGTTGCGATACTGCTCCTGCCGACAGTCGGGCATCGTATTCTTGCAGAGGAAGTGGATCGGGTAAACCACATACCACGAAACCAGGGCTGGCAGCCCTCCTTCCGTGGGTCGCAGAAGGGGATCGCGGCGCGGCTCCCGCTGCTTGTCCGTGGACTTGTAGTAGTCCACTCCTCCCGCCGAGGTGGGCTGAGTAGACACACCCTGTCCACCACCCTGGCCACCCTTGGCAGCCGCAGATGCCTCCTCGCCAGTGACCACAGACTCTGGCTGGTCGGCGTGGTAGCCCATGTTCTCCTGGCCACTGTGGCCCATGCCCCAGTCGTCAACGGGCGGTGGATTGGCAACTGGATTCGGCTGGTTCTCATCTCCCCAGGCAGCGTTCGGGTCCCAGGTCGGATTCGGATCGCTGTAATTCTGGTAGTCGCTCTGCGGCTGCGCACTTGTGCTCTCGTTTACATTTGTGGCCTTCTGTCCCTGGGTCTGGGCGACACTTTCCTGCGTGTAGGATCCTTCTGGCACGTTTCTGTAGGTTACCAGAGCTGACTGCTCCTCCTTGCTGGGCAGCTTGAACGGTAAGTTCAGACCCATTGCCCAGTGTTCCAGCTCCGTATTAAAGTGGAGGGCCACGCAGTATCCTACGTAGCAGAGCAGCATCACGACGGACTCAAACTGAAAGAAGAAAGAAGGAAAGATTAGACGACGAAGGCTGTCATTGTGTAGTTACTTACGCAGGATATAACGTCGTTGAAGATGATTATTAACATTACGAGAATAGAAACACAGTAAAAGAAGCAGTCCCGTACCAGGGGCCACCAATTTAGTTGGCAGACGGTACCGGAGCATAGGGCACAAACGGATATCACGAACATAATGTTAAATACGGCCGATCCGATGACCCCGCTGATGCCGATGTCGTCCTTAGCAAAGAACACTCCTATCACCACAGTAGCCAGCTCAGGTGCCGAGCTTCCGGCGGCCATAAACGTGGCTCCCGCGACATCTGGCGATAGCTTTAGCTCTAAAATGTAAAAACAAGCGAGTAACGGATATTATAATATCTCTTCTAGGATAACCTTTCCTTTTGTTGAACCAAATAGTTGGGCACTTATCAGTATTCAAACTTCAAGCTGTGCTGGTCAGATTATATGGGATAAAACATAACATTTAAAGTATGCTAACATATAAAAAGTATGACTAGATAGATAGCTGTTTTGGAGAAAGATGTCTCATTTGATGGACAAAATTGGTTCCACCTTGCTAGGATCTAATGCTGTTTAAAAGATTAACAAGAAAAGAAGCTAACCCCGGCAAGCAAAAGCTTTTATACCCGAGCAATAATTATACATTAAAAACAAAACCGAAGGCTATAGTCGAGTTCGGCGACTATCAGATACCCGTTACTCAGCTGGTGGGAGTGTGAACGGGAAAGATATGCCATTCTGTTTGGCATATCGATAGAAATTCGCAAAAAAAATATTAAAATAATAAAATAAAAAAAATTTCCAAAAGTGTGGCCGTGTGAATTTTGGGCAGTTTGTGGGCGCTAACATTTTTTTAGCAGATGTAAAAAAACTTACAAGACTAATAGAAAAATTCAGAAATTTCAAAATATTTTTCAAAGCTGCGTCCGTGGCTAACAAACTAGCGCTGCTTTATGTCTCTGAAATCTGAATATCTAACATTTATAGTCTATCTAACTTTTATGTCAGAAATCTCGACGTTCATACGGACGGACACACGGACTGAAGGAGAGGGGGACTGACGGACGGACATACTCAGATCGACTAATCAAGAATATATATTATATACTTTCTATGGTCGGAAACGCTTCCTTCTACCTGTTACATACTTTTCAACAAATCTAGTATACCCTTTTACTCTATGAGTAACCAAGAGAGAACGCTATAGTCGAGTTAAAATTTGCAGTGGTTGTCCGATCTTAACAAGTGATACAGCAATCAAAACTTGCGCAAAACCTACAGGAATCGCATACCAAGATATACTTCTTGACGAGTTAAAAATCAAGTGCCGTTCGATACTTCAAAATATAAAAGATTTGATATAAACTTTTTGGACAAAGAATAATTTTGCCCTGGACTTCCTAATTATACCATATAAAATTTACTCTTTCGACGAAAAAATGGTGTTATCAAATATCAGAGACGTAGACGAAGTTTGCTTATTAATGCTGCCACGCCCACACTTTTGAAAATCTTCTTAATATTTTTAGTTTTTTGATTAGTTTTGTAAATTTCTATCGATTTGCAAAAAAGAGCTTTCTACCACAAACTCGTTACTCAACGCCCACAAACAGCCCAAATCAGTTTTGAAAAATGTATTGAAATGTCTTTCTAATTTTTATCGATATGCTAAACATTTTGGCCACCATAACCCCCACACTCACACTTTTGATTTATTTTTATTTAATCTTTTGTTTCCAGTTTCTATCGGTATGCAAAAAAGTTGTTGGTTGTTCTCGTTTGCACTTCCACTAGTTGAGTAACGGGTATCTGATAGTCTTTTGCTTTTAAATCTTCAAGAGGTATTTTTGATTGGTTGAAAGCTTACCCTCGCAAAGCCGATCCAGACTGGCCACAAAGTACTCATCGCAAACTATTGCCAACCCGAAAAAAGTGAAGACTGCCACCAGTATGTGGAGGATAAGGCCGCCATGCTGCCGCGCCCACTTGTTCATTAGCGGCTGTGGGAACTGCTCGATTGCCGGGGGCGTGCAGTTTTCCCGCTTTGGGCGCCAGGTGGGAACCGCGTTATGAATGGGGGTCGATTGCGTGGTCGCCTGAGCCTATCGGAAAGCTTTTAGTTCTAAGTGATCGTAGATCTATAAGGCACGGTACCTCAAACGCCAGTGTTGTGTCCTGGACGGAATGGCCCTCTGTGTTTCTCTCTGGAGTATCCTCTCCGTTGGCCTCGGCATCGCCAGCATCCTCGGCCAGTGCGCCCACATCCAGAGGCAGGGACTGTCCATCTTTAGTGTCTCCTTTGGCGGAGTAGATGCTGACGCAGTAATAAATTAAAAACAACAGCCCCATGTTCCACATGCGGGCACGGCGGGATCGACGGCGTACAATCTGTAAAACAGATATTGAAGTTAGTATAAGACACAGATAATTTATTCAAAATAGTTTTGCGATTCTGATGTTAAATCCCGACCACTATAAATCCGGTAACATATTTAAATAAAAGATAATTTTGATATCTAATAAAATACATTATTTTTAGGCACTTTATTGCCTATTATACTCGTTAGAGTAAAAGGGTTTACTAGATTCGTTGAAAAGTATGTAACAGGAAGAAGGAAGCTTTTCCATATAAAGTATATAGATTCTTGATCAGGGTCAATAGCTGAGTCCGAGTGGCCAAGTGAGATTAGGCTTGCAGCTTCTAGAGCCATAGACGCAGCGCAAGTTTGTTTCCAAATGTTACAACACCCACTCTAACGTCCACAAGCCGACCAAAAACGCCAAACACGCCCACACTTTTGAAAATGTTTTGATATTATTTAATTTGTGTATTAGTCTTGTAAATTTCTATCGATGTGTAGAAAGTCGTTTCGCCACGCCCACTCTAACGGCCAGTACCCGCTCAAAACCGCCACGCTAAACATTTTGAAAAATGTTTTGAAATTTAAACAAAAAATGTTGCCCACTCTTACGCCTACAAATCGCTCAAAACTGTAACTTTTTCAAAATTAATAATTGTTACCTGAGTAACGGGTATCTGATAGTCGGAGAACTTGATTACATCATTCTCTCTTGTTAAAATATCAATTAATTCTACACTTCTAAGCCTATGTGTTACTCATGCCCTAGGTTTTTTAAGCATTAACAAAACAAGGTGGGTCCCATCAATGTGATAAGATTGACATTATTAAATAATAATAGTTAATAATAATAATAATTACAAATAACCGTTAATAAAAACTATACATTTTGACAAGCATGACAAATTTTTCGAATGTGTTTTAACTGTTCAGAAATAATCTCAATATTACGAAAGTCACAATACGCTTCCATTGTGGTAACTGCTTTCTTCACTGTGCAGCAACTTCTGACTAAAACAAGATAGAATGCAATAGTCGAGTTCCCCGACTATCAGATACCCGTTACTCAGCTAGTGGAAGTTCGAATGAGACATTTCTATTTATTCAGGAATATCGGTAGAAATTGCGAAAATAAATAATAAAAATGAAAAAATATCAAAAAAGTTTTTAAATGTGTGGGCGTGGCAGTTTTATCAGCGTGTCAGGGATATCAAACAGATATTTGTCAAATCGATAGAAATTTACAAGACTAATAAAAAAAATATAAAAATATCAGAACATTTTTCAAAAGTGTTTCGACGTTCATACGGACGGACAGACGAACATGTCCAGTTCGACTCGGCTAATGATCCTGATCAAGAATATATATTCTTTATATGGTCGGAAAAGCTTCCTTCTGCCTGTTACATATTTTTGAACGAATCTAGTATACCCTTTTGCTCTGCGAGTAACGTGTTCACTATTATTTGTCAGTGTACAAAAAACAGACCGGGAAATGCTAGCAAATGCTAGAGTACTAAGTTTATTTTCGCTGCTTCATGGTGTTTATGGCTTATGGCGTGAGCCAGCTTTATCTGCAGCTCTTTGGTAGAAATGTGACACTAGGTCTGAACTGCAGTAAGGCCAGCCAAGCAAATAAATTCATATACATACATACATAAGTATGTACATACGTATCGTTTTACTTAAACTTAACTTTAAGTTTAACTGAACCTTAAGCCCTTTTGCCTGTGGGGTAAGCTTATGGTATGTTTATGTTACATTTTTATGTAATATTTCTCATATCATATATCACATGTGGTCGTGACAATTGTATGTTGCTTGTGGGCGTTAGAGTTAACGCTTTTCTAGTTCCCGAGATCACAGCGCTTATATGGACGGACATAACCAGTTCAACTCGGCTACCGAAAGCGTTTCCGACTATATGGAGTATATACATATATTCTTGATCAGGATAAATAGCCATGTCCGTCTGTCCATATGAACAGGAAGTATTTTTGTTTTGTTTTATATTTATTAAGTGAAGACCCGTACATCATAATATTGTATCTTAACATCACAGGGGGGAGAAATATTCTTAAGAATTACCAAACACTATATCAAAATATCTGAAGTAGGATAATTAATATAGATTTCGTTATGTAAATTTCATTGTTTAGCCTCTAATATATTCAGGCTTAAGAGAAAGTGGTTCAAGTTTCAAGAGTATCAAGTATATTCTCCATACAATCAAACATTATCCTTAAGTTCTGGAACTTCTGGATCCACTAGTTCTAGTAAATAATTCTAGTTGTCATTATGTTTGTTGTTGCTGCTGGTGTGATAACAGCGCACATTTTAAGCAAATGCCCGAGGACCGTGTCTCTCCTCTCCCTCTCTCTGAAGAGAGAACGAGAGCGCGAGGGAGCAACGAGAGCAATTGGGGAGTTCACCATTAAACACGAACGGCCTGGGATACAGGGATAGCATCGTGAGGAGCGTGGGACGTGATGCGAAGGGCTCGGCGGCGTCTGTATGACTGAGTGACTAACGAAACCAAAGCCACCACACCATTCCGTAAGCCCAGTGCCCCCTTTCGGGCCACTCGGTCATGCCGCAAAATATCGATTTACAGTTACGCCTGCTTCTCCCCCTGGCCCACCTTTACTCCCACTTGCTGTTGGGTAAGGTTGCAAGAGCGGGAGGGTGCTGTGGTTTTCGGTTGACTTTTGCCGTTAGTTACTGTTGTTGTAACTGCTGATGCTGTTGTTACCTCCTTTTGCTGCTGAAGGGTATGGGAAGAGGGGGAAGGAATCCACGATGACGGCGTCATCTTATAAAAATAAATGGCTGTGCTTATTAAATAGACGAGGGGATAGCAGCGACAGGCGGGGAGCAGAGGAAAGCAGTGGTAGCTCAGCTTACATCATACACGCTTGTATTTTACTTCAGCGGCGCAAAACAATGGGGCGTAAAAAAGCAAAGGATCTGCTTCTCCCTGTGCCCCATTCTGCTCCTTCAACAAGGGACGAGTGGTGACAATTGACTCTCAATTTGCATTAAGGCAAAGGATGTGCATAAGCATGGCTCAGTGGGTTAGGCCTGCACCTTGTGGCCCATTTCATAATCACTTTTTACCATTTTCACTGTTGACTGGTGGCTCAGCTCTAGGTTTACTCTCCGCGGATTTATGGGCTCTTTAATTACAGGCGGTAGTTAGATTTTTAGCGGAAAACAGATACAGAAGAAACCGTTGCCTTGGAAAACATGTGAGGGGTCAGCCGGAGAGTTGAGTTCACTTGGCCAGCACCACTAATCCATCGGCCTTTCACTTAATCTCGGTTCACTCGGGGCTGCGAAGTAGGGTTTCGTCTAGCATATCATTTTACAATCGATGATTTTGGCCCTTTTCCTCCGCCGGAGGAACGTGGTCAAGTATGTGCGGTTCGAATCGAGTATCTCACGGACTAAAACGAGACGAGTCGAGGCGAGGCTAGAGTGGATCGAGCTGGCCTGGTTTTCCACCGATGACGTCTAAGCGCGAACTGATGCAGCGTCGTCTGGCGCACAACTTCGCACGGATGGAGCGGACGTCCCAGTGGCAACCCACCACAGCCGAACGCTTCGGCCGGAAATTTGAAATAAAAAAGTGAGACGCCTGGGAAATGGCATCGGTGAGAGTGGGTGGTGGTGGGTTTGGGTGCGAGCGCCATCTGTGGACAGCTTTTCTAGGCGTGGCCGAACAGCGTTGGACCCGCGAAAACATTTTTGGCTATGAAGGGCGAAAAGCTATACATTTTATGTATGTATGCATGTACAAATTTGTCAATGTTAACACAAGTATTTACATATACATATATAAATATATACATATACATATTTATATACTGTATACTGTGTTTTAGGGAAAAAGGTTTGAAATGTACAATAACATTAAAACTGCGAGATATTTCTTGTGCACAATATACAATGTATGTACATACAGATGTATACAACGCAATATTCCTGCCCTACAATTTAGTTCGATATCAAAGCTTCTCGTGCAGGGTTGCTGTGAAGAAACTCTCAAGCCTAAGAATAACGAGGTATCGCATTATAGTATACATATAAGTATTTGTTTGAATATTATTTATTTGCGCCCTGCCTAGCCATCAAACGTCAATTGCGATGGTATAGTCAAACAGCAAACAAGCAACCTCTGTCAGCGCATTTTTTGAAGTGCCGCTAAGGACAGCAATTGTCTGGATTTTGCCACATTATCCTTTAGAGGTGCAACGTGACTTGCCGCTTTCTCAGATCTTGCCGCCAGCTAAGCAAGCCTCTGCGAAAATGCAGTTCTTTAGGGGACATGTCTCCGTTGTCCTGTTCAATCGTCACCTACAAAAAACCGCTTTAACAATGAATTACCTGTTGACACCTACAAATAGACAATTCGTCTAATTAATGGCAGCGCTCTGGAGACTCTTGAGCCCATCCAAGAAATATGACGGCTTACGTTTTATCAATTGTAACAGGTTATATGGCTTAATTATAGGTCGATGAATCTTTTGGGCTCTCAAGGATGCCCGACTGTCTGCCAAACTCTAGAAATAATCGCATTTCTCGGAAAGAGCAGCGGCTGCTTTTTCAGGTGGCAATTGAACGAAAAAATATCACTTTCATTTTATGCTCACCTTACGATATTTATTTATGAATGTAAGTAATGTATATCCCCATTACTCGTAGAATAAAAGGGTATACAAATTAGTGGAATGAAACATTAGTCTTAGTCCTCTTGGTACAGAAAAGTAAAGCAGACTACCAAGTCAGGGCTTTCAATTTTTCCTAAAAGAAGATCGTCCTATGACTAGGAAGGTAATAGGGCTTGCATCGCAAATTAGACTCCGTATGAACTCCGTGTTTATGCGTATTAATGAATCGGACGAACAAGCAAAATAAATAAAGATTTAGTTACGTAAGAATTATCGTTTTTCTGTGAGAAATGTCTTAATTTGTCATAGATGAAATGTGATCATAAAGTTTTGTGTCCAAAAGAATGCCAAGATCGTCAACTAGAGTTATTCTGTCCAATAAGGGTGTTATATATAGTATATTAGATGCCACGCCATCATTTTTGAAAGCAGTCTAGACCGGAATTTAAGTCCAAATGGCACGAAGTGTCCTTATACATATTTTAAGGCATAATTTAACATCCTATGCGCTTATAAATATAATATAATGAATTATAATGACTATGGGAATGAAGGAGCTGACGCCAATATCACCCATGAAACCTGATAAATTGAGTTTCCTATCCACAGATTTACTGAAGTCAGTGTAGATGACATCGTATTAAAAGTATTTTTAATAAGAGAAAACGATTCCCGACTTACAGATATCCGTTACATAGCTGGTAGATGTGTGTGTAATGAGAAATTTCAAAATTTGTCTGGCATATCGATAGAATTTGGGTAAGAAAATTATGAACTAAAAGAAATTGCTTTTAAAGTTTGAGCATGACAGTTTTTTGCGTTAGAAGGGGCGTAGCTGAAATGTTTTTGGTATACCGATTGAAATTAGCAAGGCAAATAATAAAAAAAAAAGAAAACATTTTTCAATCGTGTGTACGTGTCAGTTTTGGAAGGTTTGTAGGCGTTATGTTGGGAGTGACCAAAATGTTTATGTATAATTGTATAATGTATATAATTGTATAATGTATAATGTATAATTATGAAATCAAAAAGACAAATAATATATTAAAACAAAAAAAAATTAACACTTTTTTCAAAAAGTTTGTGGGCAAATCAGTAGAAATGTTCAAAACTAATAAAATGATGAAAAACAAGATAGAATGCTATAGTCGAGTTCCCTGACAATCAGATACCCGTTACTCAGCTAGTGGAAGTGCAAACGAAAAATTTAAAGTGCAAAACGAAAACAAGGAAGTGCAAACGAAAAATTTCAAAACTTTCTGAAATATCGGTAAAAAGTGGGGAAAAAATAATAAAATGAAAAAAAATTTGAAAAGTGTGGGCGTAAAACTTTTGTGTGGTTTGTGGGCGTTAGAGTGGGCGTGGCAAAACGATTTTTGGCAAATCTATAGAAATCTATATTCAAAAATGAAAAAATATCAAAACAATTTTCAAAATTGTGGGCGTGGCTAAAAGTATTTTGATAAATCTGTAGTAATTTACATGATATATTCAAAAGGAAAAAAATATCAAAACATTTTACAAAATTGTGAGCGTGACAGTAGCAACATTTGGACACGTCTGGATGCGTCTGTCTCTGGAAGCTGCATGCTTAATCTCAACATTCTAGCTTTTGTAGTTTCAACATTCTAGCTAGACGGACGGACGGACAGACGGACATGGCCAGACTGACTCGGCTATTGATCCTGATCAAGTATATATATACTTTATATGGTCGGTTCTCACTGTACATACTTTTCAACGAATCTAGTATACCCTTTTACTCTACGAGTAACGGGTATAAAAATCAAAAACAATTTTTAAGATTGTGGTCGTGGCAGTTTTGTGCGGTTTGTGGTCGAGGCAAAATATGGAACTGTGTCTAGGTCTCTGGAATCTGCATGCTCAAACTCAACTTTCTAGCTTTTATAGTTCCTGTTATCTCGACTGTCATACGGACGGACAGGCGGCTAATAATGTAGATAAAGAATATATATTATATACTTTATATATACATATTAACTTTATCCAGTATATCCTTTTACTCTATGAGCAACGGGTATAAACAACTAAGTTCTGAAAGAGGTTACTAAAGAACGAACTATTACAACTCTATTAGTCGAAATCTTCGACTATCAGATACCTATTACTCAGCTAGTGGAAGTTCGAAGTAGAAAATGGAACTTTTTTTTGGCATATCAAAAGAAATTGACAAGAAAAAAAAAACATTTAACAGCTTGAGCAGGGACAAACTATTTTGTCCATATAGCATTGGCATATAGATAGAAATTGGCATAGCAAATAATGAAATTAAAAAAAATTTCAAAGTGTGGGCGTGACAGTTGTTAGCTATTTGTGGGCGTGGCAACGTAGGCGTAGACGTCACAAGAATCTGGCTGTTTGTTTTATAGCTTTTATTTTGGGAAAAAAGTGATCCTGATCAAGCATATATCTACATACTTTATTGGGTTGGAAACGCTTCCTTTCTAACTTTTACTCGAAAAGTAACGGGTATGAATAACAATTCTATTTTTTCATTAATTAAAGAAGTGAGCGTATAAAACTGGGAGCACACTACCACTCATTGAATGGCAGGTTTTAGAATGAGTAAAAAAGTTGTAAATGACTCTTGCGTGGTAGCATACCTTACGGGTCGCCTACTTTTGAATTAGGTTTTAAACTAAATACAAATTCGGTGACGAAAATGCGACTAATCGATTGCGCACGCTCAATTTAAGCGGCGACCCAATGTCTGCCACAGAAGCGAAAGATCAGGAACGGGACGGGATAACCGCATCGCCACAGGAGTCCTGTCTCCCTGAGCGGCTGCCAAAGGTGCCACTTTCAATCCATTTTATCCGAGACAAAGACGCCAGCGTCATAATGGAGGAAAGAATCCGAGTTGACTCGGTTTTTCACGTAACTACCCGAAATTGGCTCGCTTGTCATTATTCATGTCCCACTTTCTATTCAAAATTCCGGGGGAAGGTGTCAGCCAAAGGTGTCGGCGCTGGCCCTCCGATTCTGGATACCTAGGGGCGAAGACGTGCCACTACTTTCGCCGTCTCCGAGTCCATTGTCCGCTGGCATTGTTCAATCTGGCTCATCGAGTGGTTGGGCCGTGGTTTATAGCGGTGATGAATTCGGGTTCGGCTATGAGGCAATCCTTTGTGTATGGCGATTCAATAAAACACTTATTGTGGACAAATTTCGACATATTTTAAGAGCAGTTTTTGTTCTGTCTGTTCTGTTTTCGATATGTGCGGCGTTCCTCTTCACTCGGGCTCAAAGGCAATGCTTGACTCTTAGCCAAAATCAATTTATTTTATGCGAAATAATCGTGTTGATGGCTTCGTTCTCGCCCCTTTTTTCATTCGGTTCTCGTCGCTCTCATTCTCACCCTGCCACAGCGACATTTGAGCATGGTTTCAACCCCAGATCCAACCCCCTAACAGCGAGAGTCCGCAAACCCTCTGGGCTGGATTGGGCTTGGGTTGGGAGCGCCTAGGTGAAGAAGGGTGGAAGTAATTTAAATTTATGATGCCAATTTATAGTAGTTTTTGCGGTTTTTGGACAGTCACATATGACAAGGATCTGGTGGGTATAAGGCGCGGGAAAGGCCTAAGTTACCACATAGTTTAAAATCAGTGTTGATTGGGTTAGTTGAAACCAAAGACTCTAGAATAATTGAATTATTGAATAGAATTATTCTAGTGTCTACTTTCCGAACGCGTACATAAAAAAAAGTTTCTCCAAAGCTTTTTGAAAATGTTTGAAATTAATGTATTTATTATAAACTAAATGACATACGACCACTCTATTTGAAATTCGTTTTGTTGGCTATATTGGAGGCCATCACTGCGCTGCAATCAATCAATTGTCCGGAATAATATTTTTTATGAAAAAC